TTGAATATAAATGTAAATTTCATTTATGAGTCAGAGACTCAAGGATGGAATGATGCACACTGTAGAGTTGATACCTAATATTATAGTGAATTTATGAATTCACATGTCTGAAGATGGTGGGAAAATAGGTTTTGACCTAAGTGACTTTGGAAATGAGTGGAGTCTGATGGGTAAGTTGTTAGCCACTGCATGTAAGCACTAGAGCCTGGTGGATAATGGTATTTCCATCAGGAATCAGGCTAAGCATTCAGTTACTACTGTGAATGTGGGATTGAACAATTAGTAGCTGTATGGCATCGGTGGAGCCAGGCTTCTCACTGTTGGATGGAAAGTAACAGACAAGCAAGGTGGAAAGGCTGGATTTAACCATGTGATGTTGCACTAGGATCAGAGATGTAAGAATGATCTCACTTTTACCTTAACACATGTCAGAAGGTGAGATACAGAGATAGTTGCAGACGTGTGTGTGTATACATGGGGTAGTGTACACAGATATATTTCCAAGGTTTTTTAGCGTATAGGGTCTAGAGCTAATGCTCCCAGTAGACAGGACACCAGCATTAGTATCCTAATACCCAATCTTCTGATTCCTATTACTATTCTCCAGAAAAGGATCCGCAACTCAGCTGCGGCTTGGCTAATTCTAGGGCCAGAGAAGAGCATACACATGATTATTCTGAAGATTCTTGTAGCACCAGAAAGTAAGGAAGTGTTCAAACAAATGGATGGGGGCCCGTAAAGAGGATACAGGAGACAATCTGAAAGAGCTTCCCATGGTTGACAAGTGGTAACAATTACAGAAGGAAAGAAAATGCCTTAGTATATAATCTTCACACAAGGTATGAATCAAATACCTTGATTCATACTTATAGAAAGAGATTGAATAAATATATCTAATGGGGAAGGTAGGAGCAATCTCCCTTAAGGAATAACTTCAGGAACCTCATCATGGTCATCCTCCCTTCAAGAAGGTGGACTTAACCCTCCATCCCTGAAAGTGGCCTGGAGTATGGCCATGGCAGAAATTATGTGTGTCCTTGAGTTTCATGATGAATCTTTAGGTATAATATCCCAAACATCATTCATAAAATAAATTTGTAATTTTTCTGTATCCATTAAAATTTCTCTCCTGAAAACTAGAACAGCAACAGTAACGATAACTTCACTGAGAAGGGAATTAGGCACAGACGTGGAGAATGTGCTTTCTAGTATCATATTTATAAAGGATTTGTATCATGAATATACAGTCACAGCACAGCTCAACAACAGCAACAAAAAATGAAAATAATGAACACTTTGCCCGTGATCTGAAGATGCTTCCGCAAAGAAGAGATAAAAGGTTTTCACAAGATTCTTCATTAAGGAAACATAAAAGAACACGATGATGGGATATTGATACTCACTTATTACAACAGTCAAAGCAGAAAATACTAAGAAATTCAAATATAGGGGATGGTGTAGAGCAAAAGGCCCCTCATCTGCTTGCTGGAAGGAAAGCCAATGGCCGCCAGTTGGAATATATTTGTCGATTTCTTAGAGAGAAAACCAGACACTCACCATGGGATTGAGGAGTGAGCTAGAAAAGTATTTACAAAATTTGTTTGAATATTTATGTTTATTCAAATAACTTCATACGGATGCTTGTATCATCTTTACACCTTCGAGCCTTTATCACTACCTAAAAAAGGTTATGTAGTCAGTTTTTATGGTTATTTTCCATATGGTTAGGATATACCTGTTTCTGTTCCCTTTTATCTATCTCTCTATTTTATCTAATAATCTATTATCAATCTCCACACTAGATAACAAGGTACAGGAAACACAGCCTACATGTTACAGCCCAGCCTGTGTCCCGACATTTTCAAAGGTCCTCTGAGCAGAAAATGACTGCAGTGCTATATGGACATCAATTTCTGAATATCAACACGACTCATAGTATTCAAGTGAAAGGCATTGCATGAGGCAGGGCTGGAGAGATTGTCAGGACGAGAGGATTAGGAAATCCGTCTGATGGTGGAAAGCAGATTTAAAGTTCAACAGTAAAAATTTTTTATGTCATTAAATGATTAAAAACTTGACAACTAATAACAGAAAGTAATGACCTAATCTTCAAATAAAGGTCTCATGAAGAAATATTTCTGTGCGGCTCGTCCAAAGATAGATGGGGAAAGACAGAAAAGCCTGACTCCATGAAAAAAGTCTCAAGTTTAGGGACAAGAAATTTCCCTGGAATCATTGTTTCTTAGTTGCGGCATGTGTACTCTTAGTTGTGACATACATGCGGATTTATCTTCCCAACCAGAGATTGAACCTGGGCCCCCTGCATTGGGAGCTCAGAATCTAACCACCCACTGGGCCACCAGGGAAGTCTCTCCCTGGAATTATTACGGTTGAAGCCTGCAGGGGCGGCAATGATCAAGGGGAGAAGCCACAGCTTTAATAAAAAATCCCTCCATGACATCTTCTGCATCTGCCCTGAAATAGGTCCTCTTGTTTCCTGATGACCCTGCGCGCCCCCTGGTGGTTTGAGCGGCCCCTGCAGGGACGGTCATGTCTGGACTCACCCTGACTTCTCACTGAACCTCCTGGGACAGTAACACAGGGCTGTGTCCTAGGTCATCACGGAGCTGAGCTGCAGGGAAAACTGAATTTGTGAGGTGTCTCTGGAGGTGGAGAGTCATTTCTGGAGAGACAGCCAGTGTGCTGTGCTATTCCGAGACCCAAAGCACCCCAGTCACCCCAGCCCTTTCCCTGGGGGCTGAGGGATCCAGTCCCAGCAGTCAGCACTGTTTGTGATGGAGAATCCATAGACTGAGCGGGTAAGGGAGAGGTTCTCCAATAGTCCTGGGTCCGATTCCTGCCCCAGCACGTGGGACAGGACACCTGGGGAAGGACAAACAAGGAGACACCCACTTCACAGATGTCACCCCATAACTCCACCTTCCTCAGACCCAGGAGATGCTCACAGCTGAGGGATGGCAGCAAGAGGAGGAATGACCAGAAGATTTTCATGTTCATTTTGATTAATGCTTTGACTTTCAGAGAGTTATGTCAGTGAAGGTGAAAACCCTGACTCTGAGTAGCACAGGTGCTGTGTTTTCCCCTTGAGCCTGGGTGTGATGTGCAGGCGGGAAGCATGTTTCCATATAAAGATGGTCACGGCTGGTCCTTCTCTAGGGCTGTGGAGGAGGGTGCTGGCTGAGATGCAGGGTGGACACAGCTTCATGTCACCTCTGAAGAATGGGTGATGTTTCTTTTCCAGTACGATACTTACATTTCCATATATGTCTATCTGCGTCTATATTATAGGTGTATTAGTTGGCTAGCGTGGCCGTTACAGAAAAACAGTTTGTGCAGCTTAAACAACAGCAATGGATTCCTCTCAGGCCTGGAGGCAAGAAGTCTAAGGTCACGGTGTCAGCAGGTTTGGGTCCTTCTCAGGCCTTTCTCCTTTGCTTGCAGGTGGACCTCTTCTCACTGAGTCCTCAGGTGGTCTTTTCTCTGTGTCTGTGTGCATCCCTGGTGTACTTGTCTGTTCATTATTCCTCCTCTGAAGTGTGACAAAGACCCCTGACCACCCCTTAGGCAACAGGCTCCTTGTAATTCTCTTCTCAACTAGTCTTGACCTGTGGGCGTCTGTATTTATATTTGCATGGCCAGGTTTTGTCAAGAGCCCTGCTAAGTGAGAATAATGAGAATCCCCTACCCTTGAACTCTGATCACCCGCAGTATTTGATCAAAGCCATCAAACCTCCTATCACCCACACAGTTTCTGATCACCCTGGTCTCCCTTTAGCAAGAGTCCTTTTGAGTCTATGTAACCAGAATCCCCTTAGCTTGTATTTCTTGTCTTAATAATTTCCAGTCCACTCCACCCCACGGTCTTCTTGGCCATAAGCCCCCACTCGCCAGGCTGTATTTGGAATTAAGGCAAATTTCCAAGGCTGCATCCCATATGCAGCAGCGAGTTTTGTCTTCAGGCTTTGGATGAGGTTTATATTGGAAACATGAGTATCATTTCACCACCCACGGCCATATAACTCATGCCTGAATGAAGCTGATCTGTCATGTACATTTTCCCTAGGTCCACTCACAGCCATTTGTACGTAGGGACACTAGAATGTTTCTCAGCCCTATGTCTGTCACTACTTTAAACAATTGCCAAGAATCACAGAGATGTGAAAAGCATGGCACTAATTTGACCCCAGAAAGTGCTCAATTACAGGACGGAAATTGAAACAAGAAAAGAGAGCATCACCTTGACTGACCTCAGCTGGGAGAGTGTGTGTGTGTGTGTGTGTGTGTGTGTGTGTGTGTGTGTGTGCGCGCGCGCATGTGTGTTGCATGATTCAAACAAGCAGCTGCCTTGTAAATGTCTGTGAATGACCAGAAAATGACAGTATTTATTTTGGGGTGCTCATATAAGCTAGAAGTAGGTGAATTTGGAGATATGGAATCTGTGAATAACGAGGATAATTGCATGTGCAGTATTGGAGCGCTCGGCCTTAGAGTCTATAACAATGCCTGCTGCAGAATTCAGAATGCTTGTGCAGGTTGCCTGAAAGCAGGACGGTGTGTCTCTTCCTTCCACATCTACAAAAGCCAAACAACAATTAATACTGTTTAAAAATCCCATGTGCACTCTCAGGATATTTACCAGTTTCACGGACTTCAGGCTCAAATTGAACATTATGGTGAGCCGCAGGGTTGTTCTGAGCTCCTTTGAGAAAAAGGTAAATCGAGAAATGGAAAACACCCTTAATTTTTGAGTATTATATGTGTCTCTGCATATGAATATATATAAATACACAAATATAATAAAAATAAAAATTAAACAAATATGTACATGCACACAGAATTTTCTAGACATTTCATAATCCGCAACAATGAAACATTAGAATACAGAGCAGGGTCTCTGGTGGAGATCCAGGGCAGGAAGAGGAAAGCACAGGTTCTAACAAGAATTCCCTCCAAGCACCTATATGCACCTGCTGCAGGCCTCAGCCCTGTACTTGTTGGGTCCTGTGCGCCCCCTGGTGGTTACGGGTCTCCGTGCAGGGAGGTTTGTGTCTGGGCTCACACTGACTTCCCCTCACTGTGTCTCCGGCACAGTAATACACGGCTGTGTCTTCAGTTGTCAGGCTGCTCAGCGATAAGTAGACTTGGCTCTTGGAGGTGTCCCTGGTGATGCTGAGCCGGGACTTAAGAGTTGGGTTATAATATGCGCTTCCACCACTATATATCCACCCAACCGACTCCAGCCCCTTTCCTGGAGCCTGGCGGACCCAGCCTACAGCATAGCTGGTTAATGAGAATCCAGAGACAGTGCAGGTGAGGGAGAGGGTCTGGGAGGGCTTCACCAGGCTGGGTCCCGACTCCTGCAGCTGCACCTGGGACAGGACACCTGTGGACAGAGAGAACCACGGTGACTCATGGGCTCAGATGCAGCTTCCCCATGTGCTCACGTCTGAATCCCTGAGACACTCACCTCTGGGAGCTGACACCAGGAAGACGAAGAACCACAGTGGATTCATCTTCCTGCAGATGCGATTCAGGAAGCCCAGAAGTTCTCTTCAAGCCTGAGGAGAAACCCAAATTTAAGTGAACAGGTACTTTGCTTTCACCTTGTGGTCTAAGGGGATATTTGCATAAGGGAGGGACTTTTTTATAAAAAGCAGAAAGTAGTGAAGGGAGGTCCCAGTCTCTAGGGCTCCACCTGAGGAGGGTGCTGACTGTGCCCACAGAGAACTCAGCCTCCACCTGGGGACCCCTCCCTATGCCTGGGGGACTCTGTGTCCAGGAATGAAATGATGCTGAAGGGCGAGTCAGGAAATCAGCTGTGCTCAAGGATTAACGGCAGATTTGGGGAATAAATTTAAATCCCATGGATGTATATATTTCACATAAACACCCATCACACATTCCGGGTCCTCTAAGATGTCAGACACAGACTCCTTTTTTTTTCTTTTCTGCATGATCTCCTGTTTATTAGCTGGATGCGCAAGCGTTTGAGAGAAACCATACATGTGTAAATCACATTGAATTCAGACAAAGTTAGGTAAAATTTAATATTTATCATAATTCACAACGGACCTTGTGTTTCCCTTAACTTGGGTGAGCATTTTAAATTTTATCAAGAGTGGCTCTGGAGGTGGATTTATTCTTAACAACTAAACACACCATGTATTTTGTGGACAAGGTAGTCATTCTTGCTGAGATGGTCATGGATCCCAGCCCTGCTGACATGGCCAGTAGCCTGACCTGCCTGTGTCCTGTGCACAACTGAGTGTCTGCAGGAACATCGCGAGTTTCAGGGCTCCTTTCTTGCGGGTGGACGTTGAGGAATCCCCAGGGCTATCATGGTCTAAGAACAGACATCTCCTAGAAGTTCCTCAGGACTCCAACATGCTGGGCAGGTGACCTGGTCACAGTGCACAGACTCACTCCCTCTAGAAGTGTTCATTTCTAATTCTGTCACAGCCAGTGAAATTGGAGCTCAGGGAACACAGTTCCCACTGCACTGGGTGAGAGAACATGCATGATTCTTGGAAGTAAACCTTCACAGTGAATGGCTTGCAGAGTATGAGGGTGTCATGGTCAGAGGAAAGTCCTCACCTCAGGAAGCAATTTCCATAGAAAAGACCACCGGAGAGATGCTCTCCTGAGTCCCTGGGTCAGTGAGTCCTGGGACTGTGCCTGAGGTCATTTAAGTAAATGGTGCTGGAGAGCAGAACACAGCTCCATCGCCTCTTGCTGTGGGAAGTGAGGATGTGCCTTCACCATCTGCATTTCAGTCTGCAAGGTGTAAATTGGGGATCACGATGGTAATGGTATGTGTGAAATTTATAGTGGGTTGGCCAAGGTTGTTGAATGCTGACTTGAGTGTCATCAGTGATGTTACTTTTCCTGGGAACCAGAAAGACCAATGTGAGGCCCCATGTCTGACTGACACCCTGTCATGTAGCGCTGGCTCCACTCCTGCCCTGAGAGGTCACACCTGTGTGTCTGGGGCAGGTCAGCTCTCCCTCAGCCCAGTGATTTCACCTGTACACTGACTGATGTCGAGCCCGCTGTCTGTGAGAAGATACTTACTCCATACTCTTTCATGAACAGAGTACTATACTTCTAGCTTTTCCAATAATATTTGCAGAGGAAATTAAATACTAAAGCACCTGCCTGCTTGAATGTCGATAATAGGAGAGCCAACCACAGTGATATGGGCAAGAATCACAGGACAAGTCTGGACCCTGTCGTCACGACCTGAAAATGGAGCTGATGCGCTGTGGGATAGGGGAGCGGAAGGGATGGCATCTAAAACCTGGAACCAGGTGGGCCCTTTATTCCCCAGGTGGAAGAAGGGCCTGCATTTGTGCAGATGCCCCAGCATGTGACCTGCCCTTCTGAGCTGGTGGGTTAGAGGAGATCCAGCCAAATTCGTGTTAACATAGAAGGATATGTAACAGGTGTCTTTATGTTTCAGTGGGTGGCGGTGTGTTGTTAGGGCCTATTTAACCCTAGGAAAAATGTGTTCGGTCAGCAGAACTAAAAAAAGTTATTTTTCCTTTGTGGAAAAATTGGAGGGAATTATGTCTGGAGACTGGCTCATATGATAATGCTTGAGGGAATATGCATTAGAGACGCCCAGTGGGTGATGGGAAATGAAGTGGGGAGACTTAAGTCATCTCGCTCTGCAGGTTACCAGTGATGGTCACAGCAAGAGGGCCTGACCATCGTGATGGGAGGGAGAAGGGCTGATGGTGGTGGGTTCATGGGGGCCACGTGGACAGGTCCTTCTGACGGTCTCTGTGTTTTCCCTTATAAAATCTTGAGGGTATAAGCTCAGAATGAGGTGTGGGTTTCAGGGACATTGAGGCCACATGGTTTAGGTCATTTAGTTTGTTTGTTGGAATCACTGAGCAAAGAAGGAGCAGGAGCTATTCTTGGAAATCAGCAGCGTCCTCGTGTGATGTTAGATTTGTTGCCTTAGATGTTACTGACTGTAGAGACATTCGCTGTCCTCCCATTTCATCTTCTAGGTCCACTTGGAATCCAGTTTCAAATGTGAGGGATGTAATGAGACATTTGTTATGAAACAACAAGTTTTCTAAAATTTAAGAGGTATAAGTCAAAGTAATGGAAATGTGTTACTGAGATTGTAATTGTCAAACTCTTCTCTGGAGCAACATAAAATAAAATGAATAATAATATTTCAAGGAATTGATTTTGTTTTCAACCATTGCTAAATCCATTGAATGTTTCAAGTTACCATCATTCATAAACTCAGATCCATCACGGGTAAAATTTATCGTTAGGAAATGGTCACCGTAACTGATGGAATCTCACTCTCTCATCAAGGATCTATATCTCTGTGGACACACAGCACAGTTGTCACCAGCAACACAGGAAGGAGGGTACATCGGTACATTTCTACTTTTCCAGAAGAGCATCTCTGACGAAGTCCCCCCTCTGTTTACCGATTCCATCCTTCTAGTATCTGAAAGAGGCCTTTGAGTGTACTATGACATGCTCCCACATAAAGTTCCCATGGCTTAGGAAGTGAAAGTTTAACTTCACTTTTCATTGTAATAGAAACACAACAACTAATAATTGAGAAGTATAAAAAATACATTTGAAATTTACCCAGAGGCAAGCTAGAGATTGGAAGAAAATATTTGCAGAAGACATATCTACTATATCTGATTGTTATCTAATATGTACCAAGAAGCCTTAAACTCAACCATAAGAAAGAAACAGAAGGATTAAAAAATGGGCTAACATCCTTAACAGACACCTGACCAAATAGACAAAGAGTTTGCAAATAAGGCTGTGGGAGAACATATGTCACAGGGAAGTGCCAACCAGAACAAGGACATATCCCTGAAAACTTACAAGAGTGGATCAGATCAGGACTCTGAGAACCTTAAACACCTGCAGGATGTGCAGCAGCAGGAGGTCCATTCACAGGTGGTGGGATGCAGAACGGGATGCACCTTGGGACACATTTTGGGGGCTTCCTGCAAAACTAAACATACCCGTATCTATGTTTCAGCAGTAGTGCTCCTTTGTATGTATCTGAAAGACAAGAAGACTTTAGTCCAGAGAAAACCCTGCACACGATGCTTACTTAGTTTATTCATATTTGCCAAAATTTGGGAAAAACCAAGATGTCCTTTCATCAGGAATGACTAATAAACTGTGTACATCCAGACAATGGACACTGAAATGCCACACCGATTAGGAAGAAATATCGAATGGTGAGATGCAAATGCAGAAAAGAGATTCCAGAAGAACACACCTGGCAAGGTGATGTCAGCAGAATGACAGTGGCCGAGAGGACTGAGATTCCTAAGAGGTTGTACAGCGTGAGGCTGAAGACAAGACAACTTGGGTTTGTCAGGAGGGAAATCTCGTCCTCTGCCCCTCTTGAGTTCCTGAGGCTGGACTGATAATAAAACTAACAAAGACAGATTAACAGGAGAAAAGGAAACCATTTTAACCATAGGCATGGACGTGCCATAGAAATCGACCCAGAAGTGACCAAAGCAGGCAGCTTTTATATTTTTAGACAAAGATGCAATATTTGTGAGGAATTGGTAGGAGGAGGAAATGTGCGCTCTTGGTGCTCAATTAGTGAAGGACCTAAGCAGGGTTTGGGGGTGGCTAGTGCATTAAAGAAAGAGCAAGGTTTGTTCTTAGAAGCTTCCGGGCCTGAATTCCCCATCCCTGGTGATAAGAGTGCCCCTCTGCAATGGAAAGCAGGGTCCGGCTGCTCGGTGCTGGAAAGCCAATAAAGAGGCAAAGTTGGTAGAAAGGAAAGTTTGCTTTATTTTCGCTGCCTGCACCCGGGGGTGGGGGACAGACTTCTCCCCAAAGGTCACCCTGCACTGAAAATCTGTGGGAAAACAGTTTTACTGGCGGAAGGAGGGGCTACGGGCAGAAACGGCAGAGTCAACTGTGACAGTCGTCTTGCAATTGGCCATGTGGTGGTCTGATCAGCCTCATCTTGATTGTTTTAAGTAGAGTTAATCTTCAGTTCCAGGGTCGGTTTGTTCCCATTTCGTTGAGGCCAGTTCTTGGAATTGTGGCCGCTTATGTCATGGCTACAGTCTGGTCATCATGCAGTTAACGTCTTCCTCCTGGTGGGAGTTTCTGTGTCTATAAGACGGTTCACGGGCCATGGACAAGAATATTATCTATTGCCCTTGAGAGGAACTAAAGGTCCTTGACTTGCTTAGTGACTAAACTATTATTGTCTAGTTTTGTTGGACACTTGTCGTTCCTTTCTAGGTTTTCTCACTTCTCTGATTAAACTTACTATTGGGGTAAAATTTTGGCACAGAGAAATGGCAGGCATAGGGCATGGGGTAAAGGACCGTTTCACTTCCACCTCCAGGTACAGGGAGAGCACCTTTCACATGGGAGGATTATTTCTTGCTTCAGGGTGACAGGGAGGAAGGTCACTGGCTCTGTCTTCCGTCACTTTGAGGCATATTTTCGGGTGGCCTACCCTGGGCGCCAACACTCAGGGCCTCCTTTATTATTTTCTTTCTACATATGCACA